TTTTGTGGGTGGTCCCTTGTTTAGGTACGAAAAAACCCAGTCTTAAAGAACGGGGGGGGGGGCGAAGTCTCGTCTCGTTCCTTTTCTTTCCCGCTCCGCCTGTCTTGCATTGTCTGGAACCCAGTATTTATCTGCACTCTTTTCTTTTCTTTTCTTTTAACCTAATTTACTTCTTCTTGATCTGTACACTCTCTCTTTGTTTGTTGACTCTCCTCCTTTCTCCCCTTCTCTCCCTGCTTCCACTGCATTTCCAAATAAGTCCAATTCCGTCCTCCCCGTTCCTTTTTGTGTTTTATTCTTTCGCTCTAAGCTGGGTGTGTTTCTCTTCCTCTCCTCTCCAGAGAAATAAAACTTTGTAAACTCGTAGCGGTATGGAAGAGCCTTCAGCCCTAATGCACTTGATCCTCATTACCGATGCGAAGAGCGTGGCTTTCCATTGTCGGGAACTGTGCGCTGTCAACTGTGGCAGAGAATTAAACAAAGGCCAGCGACTCTGGCATGTGCATAAACGCACAACTGTTATAGGCTGAAACCAGGTTTCACATTTGTCTGTACTGTAGAATTCATAATGGCCCGAGATTTATGTAAAATCCTATAAGACATTTCAACTACATTGTTTCTATCTATCTATCCATCCATCCAACAAACCAACAAACAAACAAACCAACAAACCAACACACAAACCAACCAACAAACCAACAAACAAACAAACAAACCAACAAAACAACCAACCAACAAACCAACCAACAAAACAACCAACAAAACAACCAACCAACAAACCAACCAACAAAACAACCAACAAAACAACCAACCAACAAACCAACCAACAAAACAACCAACAAAACAACCAACCAACAAACCAACAAACCAACAAACAAACAAACAAACAAACCAACAAACAAACAAACAGACAAACCAACCAACAAACCGACAAACAAACCAACTGAAAACCCGACGAACAAACCGACAAACCAACAAACAAAACAACCAACAAACCAGAAAAACCAACCAACCAACAAAACAACCAACCAACCAACAAACCGACAAACAAACCAACAAACCAGAAAAACCAACCAACCAACAAACAAACAAACAAACCAACAAACAAACAAACCAACCAACCAACCAGCCAACAAACCAACAGACAAACAAACAAACAAACAAACAAACAAACCAACCAACCAACCAATCAATAAACAAACAAATCAAACAAACAAACAAAACAACAAACAAACAAACCAATCAACCAACAAACAAACAACCAAACCAACCAACAAACCAACAGCTGGGGGCTGCAACCTGTGGCTTCTGACTCCTATACTGCTTTTTAGTCTCTTTGTATTGGCTCACTGAAGTTGACCAAATGTAGCCGTGACATCATGTCACTGTCCTCTTAATTCAAGATCAGTGGTGCACTTCTTCGGTCGAGAAAGCAAATCTGTGTTATCATTACAGTACTTTGAACTCCACATACTGCACAACCCATCAAATATTTAGTAAATAGTTGAAATATTTTTAGCATCTTTTAGCTGGTTTGCTGCAGATTATTATGATTACCGAGGATTACTCTGCCATAACCGAGACGCTGCTAAAATCAAAATGAGTCTTAATTTATTCCCTTTTTTTTAAAAAAAAAAAAAAACCCAAACAAATTGATCTTTCTTTAAATATCTTCCTCTCCGAAGATTCTTCAGTTCACACATATATTAGGTCATAATTTTTAACTTCAGTTAGCCAGGTTAGCTTATGGGAAACCAAAGACTAAAATAAAACACATTTTAATCATTGGTGTTGTGTCTCAGTGAAAATGTTTCTGGTACAATTTTTTTATAATTTGGTCCAATGTTGTTATCAAATGTCCCAATTCAGTCCGTCTCCCATCCATGAATAGTAGCGTCTTTGACAGCTGTTTAAGACGCCGGGGGAGAGCTGGCAACTGTGACGGCTTCCTTCGCTTTAATCTTGGACTTTTCCATCTCCAGCTGGCCGGCTGGCCGACTCAAATTTCAGGGGCAATTTAAATATTTGAGTAAAAAAACGTGCAACGACTTGGAAATAAATCATTTTAAGTAATTACCAAAAATAATCATTCATGTTCTGGGGTTAAATATATAGATTTAACTCATACATACGGGTGTAAAATAGTAAATTTAAGACTTTTAGCGTTGAATGTATTTTACATTAAATCCCATTTGGAAAAAATGTTGACATATCAGCTGTAAAAAAAAAAAACAACAATCCTTGTAGGCTTAATCTCATGAGCCCATTAGTTTCATTAGTATCAGAGTCTACAAGAGACTAGTCAACTGGGGACCTTATTAAAATTTGACTTGAATCACAGCTCATCAACATTCGAGGAATGATAGCAGGCGCTCAGAGGAGTTTTGAATTTATAAACATCCAGCTTCCCTGGTGATCAGTGCCTCAGAAGCGGAGGGAAAAAAAGGGAACACCATCTGCTTCCCTTTTAACTGAATATCTCTACAATGTCAATCTGGCTGTTATCAGATTCCTCGCCGGTGCTTCGTCAGAGCCGGTGGTTACTTTTTGATTAGCGTACGCAACACCTGTGGACGTTTATGGACCGATTGAATCCCCAAGTTTGATCATTTGAGCGTCGATTTACGGAGGTTAAGAGCAGTTTCGTCGGTCCAAAGCGTGTCGTTCACATGAAAGCGCTGAGTTCAAACTGTGGTGAGTGCAGGATTTACGTCAGGGATTTGGTAGAAGATCACCATTACATTTTTACTCTCATCCCATTCCATCCCCTAACAGAAAGGAAGTGATGGGTAATTTGCATCTGTCAGGCTAATTCCCAACATGGGAATTCCATAAATCAGTCAAAATTAGAAGGAAGACTGTGAAGCAGGAAGCAGCTATTGTTATTGTCATTGAACATCCTTTTGAAATCAGCGAACCATGAGAAACAGATTCCCACACCGTTCGTTGTACTCACGACTTTTTAGGTACTTTTAAGACATACTAGCGCATGCTAGCATTGTTAGCGTTTGACACCCCGCTAACCCAGGGGTGTCAAACTCAAATTCACAGTGGGCCAAAACTTAATATTTATTGACAAATTGACTGTAAATGTCCATGTTTCCCCTTCTCTCCAGATCTGTAAAGTACAATTTTTTGTAAGTTTTACATAAACAACCAAAGGTTAATATTATAAGCACATGAGAAATTAAATTTGAAATAAAACACACATCGATGGTATTAATTTCTTATTATGTCTGTTTATGTGAAGCCTTTTCAGTTTCTTTTTTCCACAGACCAACAACAACAACAACAAAAAACGACCGTAAATGTATGTGCTATAATGTTTATATACGTGCTCATCCACCACTAATACTACAAATACTGCCAGTATACAGGGTCTATATACTGACGGGCCAACTCTAGTACACATTTGATATGATTTCACGGGCCAAATATAATTGCACTGTGGGCCAGATTTGGCCCCGGGCCTGAGTTTGACACATGTGCCTTAATAAGACTCTTTTGAAGAATGATTGACTTTTTTTTCCCCCTCTCTTCAGGTCATAGACTAGAGTGTGACCACGAGATAATCATTATAAATACGTGGCAGTGTAAACGGAGTAATTCTTATTGACCCCTTGTTTATGTGCCCACCCTCTGATCCCACCCCCTGATTCCCTCTTTACAGCTGAATGCTTGTTAAAGCAGACCAGTGAAGATGACTGGAACACAGTTGAAGGGGCCAACATCGAGAAGTCGGGTCAAATGGTGGACTTTAATGGGAGCGGGAGTCCTATATCTACTGCAGCTATCAACCTGCCTCGGCCAAGACACAGAAGGTAAAGCCTGCCTCTCTCTCTCTCTCTCTCTCTCTCTCGCTCTCTCTCGCTCTCTCTCCCTTTATATCCAACACCATCCTCCTCCCTTTATCTCCACATCATTCTCTCGTGCCATTTCTTTTTGGCTCCATAGATTTTCTTCGTCTTATAAATCTGTAGAGAATCAAGCCAGCTCAGTGAGAACTTTATAAAAATTGGCCGGTTTATGACTGCGGGCTTATTGCAGGTAATAGCGGTGGTAGTGTCTCAACATTTTCCTGATTGATTATTGATCTTCTTTTCGAATGACACAACACAATTTGTCAAAGTGTACACCGAGGTTTTCTCTATTTTCCCTTCCATTACACTTTGCTGTTGTTTTCACAGTTTTATTCAGACACTGAATGGCTGCAGGTTATCAATGCCACGGGAAGGCATAGTGCAGTGATTTTCAACCTGGGGATCACGATCCCCACATGGCGTCACATGAAATGTCCGGTAATTGATTTTAAAAAAATGACCGATACAAAAATCTCTGTCAACTAATCATTATTCTTTTTTGAAATGATGATTTAAAATCTCAAACAACTCTATTACACTTTCACGAGTATACATCGAGTTCAAACAAAATACTGCATATAAAAATGTCTGAGCTGGCGCATCTTGATTGACGGCTGCGATTACATGACTGCAGAAGTGACAGCTACTGAAATGTCTCTAGAGACGGCAGAAGTTTTTTGATGTCAAAATGAGGTCACAAGCCAAACAAAGGTTGGGAACCACTGGCAGAGTTTGTCTTGTGTCGCTTCTTAGTGACATCAAACCTGTGGTGCGTAAATCTATTCATGTCCGGACACACTCTTTACAAAGTTTTTTCCTCTCTCCCAGTCTTAATTCAGTCATTTTCATTATCAATGTCATTGTTTCCCAAAGACTGGGTCGCGACCCTAAGGTGGGTCGCAAGAGATCTTTTTTTTGGGGTCATCTCGCATCATGTTTTCCAGGAGTTTACGAATAATGTCTATTGACTTGGGTCGTGAAGGTTTGTGAATTTTAAAGTATGGGTCCCCTGAAAAAAAGTTTGGGAAACACTGATCTACGCGCCCAAGATTTACGCTAGTTGTTCTTCCTGATTCGTCTCGAGTCACGTTGGCTCGATTTTATCAATGCATTGCCTGGCATGATCTAAATTCTCCATTAATCTCATGTTGTGTCATATATTGCAAGCATGGTGACTGAAAACTAAATAGACTAAACCTATTTGGGTATTAAGTATTAATACATTTTTTTGCCGATATCCGATATATCAATATTGTCCAAACACTTAATTTCTCATTCCGATATCATCCGATACTGATGTAGCGGGGCAGTAGTGGAAGTTGAGTGTTTATCCTGATCACTAAGGTGATTGGTTAAAACAGTGTTTCTTGATTATTCTCTGCCCCCTAGAGGACAGAATAAAAATACTATTGAGCGCCTAGTATTGGAAGTATTTATTTATTTATTTATTGGTACAAACCATTGTAAGAGTTGCTGGCATCAGCATTCTGCATACACTCATCTGATTATCAATGTACAATATATATAAATTAAATAAGCTACAATTAGCGCTCGGGCTTATTGTATATATAGAGGCTCTTTACTGTAATAGCTGTGTGGTGCCTCAAAGTTCTCCTGTTTGACTATTGATATTCTTCTCTAATGACACAACACAGTATGTCAATGTGTACCCAGTGTTTTTTTTATCCTTTTTTCCCCTTCCTCCACACTCTCTTGCTATCTTTTCAACTCTATTTAGTATTCCGCTTGTCAGACACTGAACTGCCGCAAGTTGCTAATGCTACCAAGATGCATAGTGTCTCTTATTTATAGGCACATTAGCGCCTTGACTACAGCAATACATTCAGTGCTGTCCACTTCCCTTGGCCCACACTGAACTATGGCTGTATTAGCATGAGATTTGGTGCAGACATCCATTTGAAACGGTTCTCTGGCAAATCTGATGATACCTTCCCAAAGCAACACTTTAAAGAGTTAGCTTTTTGGCTAGCTCATTTTAAACATTTTTCTAGAAGTACTACAGCTTAATAGCTAGCTCAACCTTTTGCCTGATATTACCACATATTTAAACACAAAGAAGGAAAATACAAACAGATATATTGATCATAGTTGATATATAATTTATTATATAGTAAAGTTGAAGGTCCTGGGTGGAGCTGGAACTAATTCTAGCCTATGATAGGCTTACATACATGTGTTTAATTGGTCAGTTTTTGGATTTTGTTCATGTTGTGACCTGTCATTTTGTTAGCACTATGTCAACATAAAAATACCATTAGTAGTTTTGTCATTAAAAAATATATATATATGTCTGCATACGTAATTGATTTGAGAAGAAAACTATTTCAGAGCTAGCATAATGTGCCCTGTTAACACGGTAAGAGGAAAATGAAGTCACCAAAGAGGGAAAAACACCGTATCACTCTCATGACTTTTGCTCAATTTGTCCCATAGTTAATATCCTTTTCAGGTGGTGGTGTTTGAGATTTATCAGTTTGCCATTTAGCTGATGGCATCTCTATCCAAAAGTGAATGTGTGTGAGTGTGTGAGTGCGTCTGTGCCGGAGACCGACAGCGACAGTGTGCACACATGAAATGTGGCTTATTAGCGGAGTCATTGTCAAATAAGTTGTACAATCCTAGACATCCCACTGCTTTCAGATCTTTTTAAGACCATCTGTCTTCTCCTTTGTCCTCGTCACCCTGTCCACCTTCATTCAATCACATCTATACACCTGCGTTTCCTAAACTGCTGGCAGGGTGTCAACACCAGGATAGCAGCCGTTGTTCTGGTGCCTCTGCCCGTACTAGAATAGTATGTTTTAATAAGCCCGGCGCTCCAGTTGACAGACGATACTCCGGTTTCCTCATGACACGAGTGCTAGCGTGTTTTTAATGAGCTCAAGTCCCAGAAAGAGCAGTTGAATTCGGCGGTTCGGACCCCCACCTGACATATAAGCTCTAGTACAGTACGGTTTAATAAGCTCACGTACCAAAGTAAGAGACTTATATTTATTCACTTTTGGTGTCCCAAGTGACAAAAGTTCCAGTGTTTTTTTTTTTTTAATGAGTCGCGATTATACAGCTAGGGAGCGAAAACTAAGTCACCTTGGCCTTTAACCGATTTAATAGCAACTTCAAATGCATTTATTTTTGGCCCCACAGGCAGTTGTTGTGATGTGATATGACACCTCTCAACTGCGTCAAGGCTCAGATGTGTCTTAAAATAACGTTGCATATGATGCTAATTTTTGACACACTTTTCAACGGGAATTTGTCAAGTGCGGAACAACCTACAGTATGAGTCTCTATGGATTGGGAGTCAGTTCTTAGATTCATGCTATGAACGGTAAGTTACAGCTACACATCACAGAACTATACTGTTTGTCTGATAGAGCACCACCTTGTGGAGGCAGGGGCGTCAAAGTCAATCATGAAAGGGGCCGAAATTTATCATTTAAAATGAAATTCTGATTGGTGGGCTTAGCGGGGTTATCATTTATTGAACAGTTTATTGCAAAAATTGTCTTTTTGGTAAACAAATAAATAAGTATATGAAAATGAGCAAAACTAGCAGACATTATGGAAGATTTGTGTTTTTGGTAAACAAATAAATAAGTATATAAACGCTTGATTGGAATCAGAACCCGAGCCGTGCACAGGATCACCGCGTTTTACCCATCCAGAAACCATAAGTGTAGATAAATATTTGAAGACAACCGTACTGTGCACATAATACAGTCTGGTGGGCCACATAAAATGACTTGAGGGGCCACATTCAGCCTGCGGGCCTTGAGTTTGACTTATGTCTTCTATAGTGATGAGACACTGGTGAATTCCTTTATTTGTCTCTGGTTAGAAGTTTATTTGACCCTAGGTGTGTATATATGTGTCTGTGTGGGTGGGTGGTTCCTCTAAGGTTTGTTTTAATTACATTACTTAACTTCATCCTAAGATGCACACAACCAAAACCATAAAAAGTTGACATTTTTTAGTGCAACTTTCCTTATCACCCTGTCTTCTTGCTCTCCAATAATTTTACTACAACCAGAGTTTCGGCAGATGCGGACCAGTTTTTTTTCTCTCTCTCTCTCTCTTATAAAGATTATATTCCTCTACTCTTCGTGGCTTTCTCACACCTGCCTGCCTTCTCGGTGGTACAGTAGAAGAAGTAAATGTCAGTGTGAGTGTGGCACTTTTCCAAAGCAATTCTGAGGTGTCACTTTGAATGACATCACACTCACAGCTCTATTCAGCGCTCGCTGTTAAAAAGGCAGCCTGCGGATCGGGAGTGAGAACGAGTTGTCTTCTAACAGCTACATTGGCGGTTGGATCCTCTGCCGGTGATCAGGCATCTTATAATAATTAAATAATCACACATTGAAGCCATTTTTAATCAATTCTATTACATTAAAATAGTGTTGCTGAATGGCTTTATATACGTGCACGTAGCAGTGAGATCTGGTTGCCTCCTTAAACACCTGGATAAATGAGTCCAATGTTTTTATTGGATCTGAATCCTTTGAATCTTTTGAATCCTCACCAGTGCCGCTTAGTGTTGACGGCATGGAAACACAGGGGACAAATAGATAATTCAGATGTTTATGACTTTTGCTCCCGTAAAAACATCCAACAGTCGGTATAACTAGGGATGGCTCAATCCGATACTCGGATCGGTATCGGTCCAATAATTTCAAAATTACAGGATTGGAGATCAAAAAAACTACAGCGCATCTGATCCGATACCTAAGCCCAAATGCTCATCGTAACGTGAACAGGGCCTCAGCAACAGCAGCCCATGGCATCCCGGAGGAGAAAAGAAGGTATCGGCTTGATATCTGTATCCGCCGTCCAACTCTACAACTGAATCAGAGACGTGAAATAGATGAAGGGATCGTATTGAAGCCAGACTTATTGTTGCCCATCAGTTAGAGATCAAGGTCTAATTATATTCTAAATAT